ATAAGAGATTTTGAAGTAATGGAAAGGGGAAAAAACAGTCTGTGTGTCACTTTGATCCAGTTTCAGCAGATTTATTTGAAGAGAGAAAGGATTTATACCGAGGTGAAACAGTCACAGAGGCTCTGCTTTAAGTTTTTATTTACATAAATCATACATACATGACACAGTGGTCATCTTTAATATAACTAAGAATTATTGCTTTTTTAAACACGAATCAAAGCTTTCAGGGTTACAGCTTGTGTTTGACTATTTGTAGTGACAAGAAAACAGATTGCATGTACACAGTGTGTGCAGGTGAGAATATAGGAGTAATATTACGAGTGAAARGCTGCACTTGGAACGTCCGTCAGATGTGTCATTTTGTAACTGAATGACAAAAAGTATGGAGGAAGATCAAAAACAAAGCAGCTGAATAAAAGTTTCAGAAAAAGATCTAAAAAAAAACTGTGGCCAAAATTGTAACTGCACCAAAAGAAATGCTTCTTTAAAAATGAAACTACAAACGGCWCAGCATACATTCCACAAAAGAAGCGTTAAGAAATGTTTTTTGTTGTTGATTTGAAATGATTTTCCTTTCATCTCTCTGCTTCCTTCATATTCACTTTAAAGTCCATTCAGACACCACTAGAAGAAACAACACAGAAAAGAAAAGCTCAGCTCAACATGCCTGCATGTTGCTGTGTGTCGACTACAGCTTTAGTCTCTTACTTTTAAATCTGTACAAAACTCAGAGTGTAAACATTAGGAGAACGGAAAGTTTCTATTGGCCATRGACAGGGGACCATTGGCACAGGTGAACTTGAAACAATGTCAGATGGTTTAAGAAAAGAAACAAAAAGCTTATAGTAAAGAAAAAATCTATTTCATTATCCAACCATCCATTTACTGCAAAAAATAAAGCTTAAAAAAATTCCAGAAACAGCAGAAGTACCCCTCTGTATAAGGAGATAATGTGCACAGACAGAACAGGGCATCAAAACATCAAAGTACAGTAAGTATTGCTTCTTCAAATCTGAATTAAATTAAAAAAGGAATGATATCCATACATCTTAAAGGGATGTCTTTTACAGACACAGCAGGTTTAAGTAAACAGAACGCACGTTCCTTTCATCTCCCTCCACATAAATGGCTCTGAGCACTGTGGCTGCTCCCAGTTTCTACAACCTCTCTGCTYCCACCTGGTGGCTAACAGAAGCATAGCAGAGTCTTTGCTGCTGAGCAGCATCCGGCTCTTCAGGCAGCTCAGTGGGACATTTCAYAGCAGGTTCACTGTGTTTCTGTCATACTTCAGTAGAAAAGAGAAAACTTTGACGTTTGCTGTCGGGTATTGGAATGCTTTCCAGCTGAAGGAAGTAGAGGAGGACTTGCACCTTTGGAGAAACACAAGAAGTAAAATGAGATTCACACTAGTTTTCTAAATTAAAGTCACGTTAATGCTGGTAGGGACCAAGTTTTACCTGAGACATGACTTCAAGAGACCAATTGTCGTTCATTGAGATCGGCTGGGAGCTGGTTGGGGTTTTGCTGTCTTTTTCAGACGGTCGAAGCAAAGTAGGACCAAAAACTGTGGCCAGGTTGTGCAAAGACATCTTGTTGATGCTCTCGTTTTCAGCCACCCTTTAAAAAAGCAAAGCCAAAAGCTTAAACCATGCTGACTAAATACTACAGAAATTCTTTAAAAGCTTGTCACTTTTGGTAAACATGTACAGATAAAACAAAATTCAGGGATTTACCTTTTTAGGTGGTCTAGAACAAAAAGAAAAGTCACCAGATTAGTCTCTGGCAGAGACAGCAGCAGGTTGAGCATGCAGCTCTCCTTAGCCACAGTATCAGAGAGACCTGGGAAATAAATGCAGGGATTGGATGAGTCACCATCAGAGCTCACACTTGACTCCTCGTAAACCAATTCAAATAATGCAAACAGGAAGAAGTGGGGACTGACTGATGCCTCCAGCAAAGTTGGGGTACAGCTCATCGGTAAAGAGAGGCTCAGGAAGCTCGCGGAAATACAGCTTCAGTGTTCCAGCGATGGCATTTACGTCCATCTCCCTCATCATGAGTGACACGTCCTTATTGTCTGCAGGGAACATCAGACAAGCTGAAAGTGAGTTTGGAAAACAACTAAGCAGTGCAGGATGTGTGCCTGACTCTGACTCTGCCTTTAGATACATCTAATTCCTGTCTCACATTCCTACATTTGACAAAACACTTTCAGACAGGAACTAAATTAAGACCGTACGCACTTGAGTCGAAGGCAGCCTTGAGCGCCTGGATGTCCGTTGCGACACCAGACACTCTGTAGATCCCCACCTCCTCCATCCCTCGTCGCTCGATCTCCTCTACACACTGACGAACAATCAGCGGGACTTTGGAGCGTTCCCGCCTGAAGACAACACAAAAGGCAAAAGCTTGAGCTGTGCAGCTACAGCTCAACGGACTGTAAAAATACTGTAACGAATACGTATATTCAGCGGTTTCAGGAAGCTTTGATTACAAATACTGGTTCAAACCTGAAGCTCAAAGACACATGAATGATTAGAAACAGAACCTGAATCCAGGTCAACAACTCACTTAGTGACGATGTTGATCTTCACTCCAAACACGCCCGACTGTTTGCGTGAAGGCATTCGCTTCAGACTGAACTCTCTGCTGGTGAACTTCATCGAAAGCTTCACCTCCACCTGAAACAGGTTGAAGATGGTTATTTTACAGGCAATGATAGCTGACTGTGGTTTCCTTTGACAATAAAAAAAAAGCAACTCGCAGGTTTAGATCTGTGATCTCAGTGGGATTTACCTGGTTAACCTATGATTAATACATTGAGAGTCCACCTGGATGTAACTAAGCTCTAAGATGTGTGGTTGGTGCAGGCGGTCAGGTCTAGGTTCAGCAACAGTCTGTGCTCAAAGAATGAGGTCAGCTGACCTGAATATACTGAATGACCAGGTTATTCCATCAATGACTGTTTCTTCCCTGATGACACGGACATATTCCAAGATGACAATGCCAGGATTCATGGGGCTGGAATTGTGACAGAGTGGTTCAGGGAGCATGAGACATCATTTTCACACATGGACTGGCTCCACAGAGTCCACTGAGAATCTTTGGGATGTGCTGGAGAAGGTCAGACTCTACCATCATCAATGAAGATCTTGGTGAAACATAAATGTAACACTGGATGGAGATAAATCTGGTGACAATGAAGAAGATTATCCAAACAATGACACAGAGAATGTGTGACGTAATCAAAGCTAAAGGCTGTCCTTTCTTTTTGGCCAGGCAGTGTATTAAAAATTCATTTGAGGATCATTCACATACTGGAAAATACCAAATATCCTGCAAAAAGAGGCACGTCACTTTTACAGCAWCCTCCATTTTAATTTAGGTACAGTTTGCTGTCACTTATTCTTTTAGGTGGTCCCTCCMTAGGAAGCAACCCTGCATGAAAAAACTGACAATTATTTCACACAGATGCCCRTCCTGAGCCAACCTGCAGCCTCAGGATTACAGCACCGCAGCACCTCACTGGCTGCCGACAGTAAAAACCATTATTTATGGATCAAACCTTTATACATTCATGTTCAACACATCTTACTCACCCGTTACAGTTGGACAGCATTATTTAACATTTGTTTTAATTACAAATGAAGTTACCTTTGGATTTATACTTCTCATCAAAAGATAAGAATATAACCACATAAAACACTTAGCTGCTGTAAGTTTTGTTTTTCTGAAACCTTTATTTTCCTKCAACCAGAAAAACAAATAAAAAAATGTATCAAGTGTATGAAAATTAGCACCAGTTTCTTTAATTTTACAACCAATTACGAGGTAAAAAAAACATCAACATAGTCTTCAAATAGAAAGTGTAAGTGTTTTAGAAATCAAGTCTTGAAACAATTAAATACTGTATTAGTTAATAAATACTGTGGGTTCTTTTATTTTTCTTGGGATTCTTAAGTGCAGCATCGTTGTCAGAGTATCCTCTCATCAAACTGGTGAAAACACTTACTCTATTCATGGTGATGACGGTTCTCTGCCAGTCTTTATTCTGGAGCGTCTGAGGGTCCAGCTGAGAGAAGAGCAGAAAGAAACATTTATTAGAATTTACTTTTCTTTTGTCRATGTGAGAATTATCTGCTCAATAACTTCACAGCACCTTTATAAAAGTAAACTCTTGTGGACATGTTGTGTTCTCTTTGCTCTAATTGAATCTGAGGTAATAAAACCTGAGCTTTTATCAGCAGTGATCAGACCAGTAATGTGAGAGCAYCATTGTTACTGTCCTGACTCTGTGCAACAGGGCAGATTCTTTCACCAAAGAAATCTTCAGATCTCACTCAGATGATCCTTTGCTTACACAAAATTTATTTACATACATAACAGCTCATTTATTAGGAGACAGAACAGCAGACAGCCAGATTTTCTCTTTTAAATCTGCCAAAAATGCAACCAGACATTTTTAGGAAACAAGTAAAGAAATGRTTGTCTTTAAACGTATGAACGTTTCCAGATACACAGTGATTCACCACATGGGTCTGTCCTCACTTCCTTTCTTTTTACCTTTGGTTTGAGCAGACTGCTGCGGACCCTGTCCCACAGACGGGACCCTGTAACCGGGGTCTTCTTCACAGTCGTGTCTCCCTCTTCTTCTAGTCCACTGTTTGTCRGATCCACGTTCTCGTCCTCGTTAGCATTACCTTCACTCATTTTTTCTAGCATTAGTTTTTCCACGCAGGTTTCGTCCATGGACCGACAACTAACAACACTGATCTTCTACAAATACTGGTTTCTAAACCTCAGCGCTGACAAAATCAACAAAACCTTAATCCCTGAAGAAAGAGCCTCTCATCACATCTTCATCAACTCTTTACAAACTTCCTGAGACATCCTCRGATTTTGCCAAACTCCAGATTCGTTCAGTCCAGATGAAGTCAGAAAGGGAACAAAGACACACAGCCGGTCAACCACACTCTCCTCTGTATTGTTCTACCTCCCAGATGGATTAGRGGGATTTACTCCAGAGAATCCCCTCCTACCCTCATTACCAACGCGCTCACGCCTGCTGCTGGGAGGAGAGTCGGCTGGTGGCATRTCAGGTAGCTGAACAGGATCCTCTTATGTCGAGCATGCTTTAGTTCTGGTGACCTTTAACACTGGAACACGTGTCGTTCCTTCACCGCCTCTCAAACACTGTCTTAGARTTACATTCAGGATAGAAACACAAGAACGTCTTCATAAAGACTCTCCTTTTAAAAGGGGATAAAATCAACTTTTTTGAGTTTTATATCATGTTATTATATGTTATTACATATTATCATGTTA